AAGTCATCTTATACCATGTTGTCCACCTCAGTTAACACGGCGCAGCATGACCTTCTTTTCGGGGCTATATGCAACATATACCTTGGCCAATGCAGTCTTTTAAGGTAGATCACGTGATTCGGTCGTTCCAAAGAGTAGATGAACAAAACTGAAACACCGGCACAAAGGAGTCTAGCATACGTTTGATTACCCTAGCAACACCAATTAATCCAGTCAGGCACAAGCAGGATGGAACGAAACGCACCAACAATAAACCAGAAAATGCTGGATGCAGTGCATTTCCCAATGATAATAAATGTTCCTCGAAGACGTCAAACAATGGTGGTTTCACGGTCATCGCCGAGGGACCGAGAACAGTGAATAATCCAGACCCGTAGATTGATAAATCGGTCGCCAGTTTGGTTGGACCAATTGTTCGAAAGATCGTGTCGTAACATTCCAGCGCTTTACAATGAACCCCCGGTGGAAGAGCCGGATGAAGACATTGGGCCAGCCGCTTACCGACCAGAAAACTCCTCGGGATGTGATTGGCCTTAGCATTGCTTTGAATAACCTGTATCCATCAAGAAAGTGATCAGAGAGGCGTGAGAAAATATGTTATTTAAAACATGAAGAGATCAAAAGATTTTGAAATCAGCGGTATTATAGTTGGAAATTCTTTGATTTAAGGTTACTATTTCGAGAATGGAAAACATCAGGTGTATGAGAGTTTGTAATGCGTCAAAAAAGAACAACACCCAGACTGTTAACATACTGGAAGTTAAACAAATAGTAATTCGAAAATAGTAACTCTGAAATAAAAAGAGCCTTCGGCTTGTAGAGCTTGTCAGAAAGGCGCACAGCCTTTTAGTATATAAAAGTGTGTTACCATAAAAAGGGTTAGTCAATATGAGCTATGACTCGGTTATGGGGACCTAAAACTCAAGTCCTGGTATCGTAAAACTCACATGGGATGGATGTGTTATTGAGATAAACGTCAGAGCGGCTACCTACTTATCCCTTCCATCATAATCCATGCATTGTAGTGGAATCGAAACCCAAAGATTTAAAAATCTAGTGTACAGACAAAGTAGGAAGAAAACCCTGGGTATTATCTAGTGTTGCTGACGATAACTTGGGAACATCAAATGAACACAGCTGAACCGACCACCAAAGTTAACCAACTCTGGCGGTGCGAATACAACGAAAATGATTTACAGAAGCCAATGATGTTAATGCCAATAGAAGTCCAGCAGTAAGAAACCCGAAGGTCATAGGATACTGATGGACTATAAGCAACGAACCTGTGAG